ATATATAGATATATAGATATATAGATATATAGATATATAGATATATATCCATATCCCATCTTCTTAATCCATTCATCAGTTGATGGACATTTGGTCTCTTCTTAATTTGGCTATTGTTGATAGCACTGCTATAAACATGGGAGTGCGTGTGCCCCTTCAAATCAGCATTTTTGTATCCTTTCCTATACTATTTTTCTTAGTTACTTTTCAAAACTATCTACAGTAGTTTTGATATACTAAAAAGTGTTGTAAAATATCTTAAAATCCAAGCCTATTCAGTAGCAAAAATAATCAGAAAACAGGTAAAAAAAAAAATCCTGTTCAATAATGAGATAAAATGAATTAAAAAAATGCTATTATCCTGATGGGTTAAAGTGTTCTGGTCACAAAGACACTGATGGGGTTGTGAGAAATCCCCTATTACAAAAAAGCTAAAGCTTAGCAGCTAAGAGGTTCTGGAAGGCATATTATTGCTCCTTTTTTACAAACTGCCTCTAGCATAAATTATGGATATTTCAGGGTCCTGTCAAATAGTTGCCATTAAAAAAGAAATTAAGAATTAAAGAAAGCATGTAGATATTGCTACAGTAAAGAGAGGTCTCCTGTTAGCAATATTAGCACTTGCATTTTTGTATTTCTATTGTTGATGAGGGGCAGGGATGAGGTTGAATTGTGCTTGTCTTTAACTATGAGTCTGTTCCTCAGTTTCCCACCTCAAAAATGGGGAATGAACCCTTTTCTTTGTCTTTCTCCCAGAGAGGATATAAGAATAAAGGGTCACATGAATCCTTTGAGCACCTCACAAAAAATAAATAAATAAATAAATAAATAAATAAATAAATAAGCTGTATAAATTCAGAGTCAATTATATCATATTACTAGGAAATTCTCAGGTGGGCTGTATATGAAGTAGATGATAATCCTGCTTTATCTTCTGTGTGATTTCCTAAGTAAAACGAAACAAAACAAAACAAACAAAAAAACTTACTATCATCATTTGTTACTCTTAACTTTGACTTCTCATAAGATTCCTTTCACTAGAGCCACACTGTCCTGTACAATAGCCATTAGCCACATATGGCTATTTAAATTTAAATTTTAACTAATTAAAATGAACTAAAATACAAAATTCAGTTCCTCAGTCTTATTAGCCACATTTCAAGCACTCAACAGGTACATGTGACTACTTGCTGTCATGTTGGACAGAGAGAACATTTCTGTCATCACAGAAAGTTCAATTGGACCTTGCTGGCCCCAAGGATACTCAGGCTGAATGACCCTAATGCTCTGTGGCCTTAAGGTAACCATTGATAGCATTTCAAGGATTGAATGACCCTAGAAGTTCTGAGAGTACTTCATAATCACATCAGTGTCAGACTAAGGGAAAGCCAGAAGTAAGCAAAGAGAAATTAAATAGGCAATAAAGAAGAAAGAAGGAATGATAGCCAGCAAAAGAATACACACTGACATTATTATAAAAGGATAAAAAATGACTCAGAAGTTCAGTGCTTCAGCAGAGGTATAATTTTACTTAAAACATTTGCCACAGGTGGTTTGCACAAAATGCATCAATCCAATGCTGACTTTCTGATGTCCTAATTGGGTTTTCAGACATTCCAGCTAAATCACACAGGAACTATTTCTTGAAATTGTGATGAAGCTTAACCTCCCTTCTGAATACCTCATGTTTAAAAACATTTTCCTCAAAGAGGTGTCAGCAGATATTAATGTAGATACTTGCAACTTGTGTGTTTATCTTTGTTTGGGCTGCTTGTACTCACAAGTAATTTTCATGCTTACCAAAATTTTGGCCTCTATTTCCTATATAAAAAGGAATTATAATTTAGCATATATTGTGTTATTTGTTCCAAAAAGTAAGAGACTAACCTATGTATGTTTGCATTTAGGTCATTCTGTCCATTGAAGAAGGCTATAGACTTCCGGCTCCCATGGGCTGTCCAGCATCTCTACACCAGCTGATGCTCCATTGCTGGCAGAAGGAGAGAAACCACAGACCAAAATTTACTGACATTGTCAGCTTCCTTGACAAACTGATCCGCAATCCCAGTGCCCTTCACACCCTGGTGGAGGACATCCTTGTGTAAGATGCATCGTGTCGATTTTTCCCCCTCAACAATCATTTCTTTCAGGCTATAGACAAGACTAACAGGTAGAGAGGAGAAAGTTTACTGTAATAACTGTCTAGTTGCCAACCTTTTAGAATATTTTATATAAGCCATATTTTGTTTATCAGCTGAAAAAATAATTTATTAACATTGTTAAATGGATTTTTTTTAAAGAAAACAGGTACTCCTTTTGTTCTCTCCATATCTAATCTTTCTGAATTACTTTATATATATATATATATATACACACACACACACACATATATGTACATATATATACACATAAAAATATATGTGTGTGTATATATATATATATATATATATATATATTCTTTTTTTTAACCTGTGGGCATCTTTGGTATTTGTATATCTTTTTTTTTATTTACCTATCCTTCCTTGCCTCTGTAAGTAGTTTTGGTATATATTTGCAGCCTCTTTAATTTTCTTGTCCATTCTATGTTCTGTCCCTCTATTTGAAATGGCAAGCAAGACAGGGGCAATTTGTGAATCAGCCAGGAGTGAGGATGTTTCCTGCTGATATGATCACACCCAGCTATTGTTACTTTCCATTCCTAAAACCAGAAAAAGACAAATGACAAGACAAGAAAATGAAGGCGCTCATACACCATTTTGTGAAAGTCAGTAGAGTTGAGAAGATCTACTCCTCTCTCTCTAAAAATCAGTTATAAGAAGGGGGGAGTGTAGAAGAAAAGAAACAGTACTATCTATGTCTGAAAAGATTACATTTAAAATATTTTCAGACTGAGAATATATGTCTTTATTTAGCCAAATAGGACTTAGAAATACCCAAAGTATTTCCAAAGCTCACTTTCCTAACTCAGGGGACAGCCAACAGGATATACAGATGTTCAACTTTAGGTCATAGGTTCAAGTCGGTGCAGGTTTTAGTATTAAGGCCAAAGCCTCTTCAAGGACTACTTAAAGCAGGCCTCAGTTCACTGCAGAGCACACAAGAATTCACCTCTAAATCACTAATTGGCAGCCTCAGTAAAGTGAAGCCAAGCGTGAAATAGCTAGAGATTAAACTATTACTCTAGCCCATCTTCCCTAAAGCAGTCCAACAGAGGCAGTTTAAAGGGCGGCAGGGGGAGGGGAACGATTTAGGATTTTATCATGAAAGGGCAGTCATTGAAGGATTTTAAGCAAGAGAATGGCATGATCACATTTACATTTCTGCAAGATCACTCCAGAGCTGATTTAGACTGAGTGCAAAACAAGGAACAAGACTGGAAACAGAGACAGATGCTTATAGAAACTCAAGATAGAAAAGATTAGGGCCTGACTCATGAAATGGGAAAAAAGCGTGGGGTCAGGAGATAAGAGAATGGATTTATTATCAGGCAAGGAAAAAAATGTGTCTTGGTCGCCGATTGAATATGGAGGGAGGAGAGAGAAGAATCAAGAATTTTGTCAAAGTTACTTTCTTAGACAAGCTGGCTGATATATTACCACTAAGAGAAAGAGAAAGAAGGATAAGGTTCTAGAATAGAAATGAGACCATTTCAAGTAAGCTGAATTGAAGGTGCCTGTGGTGTGTGTGGGTGGAGATGTCCAATAGGCAGTTATATGTGTAGGTTGAACCTCAGGTGGAAAGATCTGAGCTGAAGATTTGAAGATCATCAACATAGAGACTATAGCTGAAGATTCATGAATATTAAGATGACCCATGGAGACTATAAAGTATGCAAATTAACACAGGGAAAGAGCACAACACCAAGATTTAAGAAATAAGCTGAAGGAGAGTACCCAGAGGAGACTGAGAAAGAAGAACCGGACAGGTAATAATGAAAGCAGGGAAAGAGCAGTGTCATAGGAGCTAAAAAAAAAAAAAAAAGAAAAGAAAAAGAAAAAAAGAAACAAACAAACAAACAAAAACAATGGGGAGAGTTTTCAAGGAGTGTAATGCCCCAAGTCTTCACAAAGCTTCAGTAAGATAAAAAGTGACGTGGGCCCATTGAATTTAGCAACAGAGTGGCCAGGTATTTATGCGCAGCCTTAGCGAGAGCATTTGAATAAAGTTGTGTGAGACAGACTGCAATGGAGCAGAAGTAAATATGAGGTCAGAGAGAAGAGCAATACAAAGCACTAAGAAGCCTGTCTCTGAAGAGAAAGAGAAGTAGTTGGAGAAAATATTTCTTGGTTTTTGTTTTTATATGTCTTATTGAAGAGATGGGTATGCATTGACATGGAAGAGAAAGAGCTAACAGAAAGAGACCATGCAGTGAGTGTGCATTAATGGAAAAGAACTTTGGTTATCTATAAACTGAACTCATTTAATCTGAGCCTTTCATTGTGGTATAGGGTTAATGGACCCCACAGCCAGTGCCCATCAACAGAGCTCTCTAACTGTTCTATGGCTGTAGAAGCAGGCAGGTAAGAACCTTCTTTTTGAAGAAAAGTAGATAAAACTATTTCTTCCCTGCTTTTTCAAGATTATGAATGTTTATCGTACTTGGAAAATAATGATGAAGACTCTAAGATGAGAAATATGCCAAAAAGTCAAAATGATCCTGAGGTAAAGTCAACATGAGGGCTTGTGTCTTAAGGCCAGAAATTTATGGTTTGATGTTATATGCGGTGTCCTGTGGACAGGCCAGCAAATGGCAAGTCTGTGATGGCACCACCACACATGGGCAAGAGTTGCATACTTTATATAAAGTTGGCAGTTTCATTTGATGACTGATTTCCTGTCCTTGTTTCTGATAAAGATATATGGGCTAGTGTTTTCTGCTGTTAATGTACTTTTGTTTGAGGGGCACCTGGGTGGCTCAGTTGGTTAACTGTCCGACATCGACTCAGGTCATGATCTCACAGTTCATGGGTTTGAGCCCCACCTCGGGTTCTGTGCTGACAGCTGGGAACCTGGAGCCTGCTTCAGATTCTGTGTGTCCCTCTCTCTCTCTCTCTGCCCCTCCCTTGCTTGTGCTCGCTCTCTCTCTCTCTCTCTCTCTCTCCCTCTCAAAAATAAATAAGCCTTTTAAAAAATTAAAAAATATATTTTTTGTTTGAGAAACAAAAGGAACCAGAGTTATAAGGGTACTAGGCCTAACCATTATCACCATTCTTATTTTCACAGCAGCCTGAGAGGGTTACCCTTATCTACCCCTTCACCTCCAATGCCACCTACCCACCCTGTCCCTGATCCCAGAGAACTGGGGCTGTTTAAGGGCAAGAGATGTGGTATGAAGGATAGCATGTTAGCTGAAGAATGTGTGGTTTGTTTTATGAACTGCCCCATCTACCCCCCAAGTCCCAAAGCCCAGTCATCTGTCTCCAAGTGATGTTGGTTTAAAGAAACATGACAGAGAATAGAATTTCAGTCTTTCCTCCCATTTATCTTTCAAACAGGTAAAGGAGTTTAAGTGTATAATCCACGGCAACTCTGATTAAACCCTCCTGTATTCTTATTAAACATCAAGTATTCCCAGACTCCCAGGTTTCTCCCACACTTCTACACTGACATAACTCTCTCATCCACTAGGGTCCCTATGGTTTTTATTCTACTCTAATTGCTTTTTTCTCAAGAATTCACCTAAGAAGCTTTTATCCTTTCTTTTGACAGAATAGTAAGAGGAGAAGAAATTAAAGGCAACAAAAGGGATGAGGAAAGCTGTGAAACCCACAGCTCAATAATTTTATACTAGCATATCAGAAATTTTATAAATCTTGTATCGGCAGTTTTTCCTTTCAAAAGACAGAACACCCAATAGAAAAAATGTTGGTCAGAGAAAGCTTTCATTGGAGCAGCGCTTCTAAATAATGCTGATATTCTCATGCCTGGCATGCTCCCATGGGGATATGCAGAGCTCTATAATTCTGAGCATTCTTACTTTCTGTCCTACTCAAGTATGTGGATATATAAGTGAGCATAGCAATATTATAAGTATAACTTTAAATCCAATTGATTTAAAAAAAAATACCTTGTATACTTTATATAAAGTTGTAAAAAGTACCTTATAATGTAGGCATTCATCCTTTTATAAATGTGAATTTCACACTACCTTCACTTTTATTCATTCTACAATGTTGCCTTATAACCTCCTTTTGAAGAAGTATTTGTAGCTGTCACATGGTGCACAGCCCCTGGGAGAAGAGGCTCACTTTGAGGCCAAGGCTATATGGAGAATGGCATCAGGAGCAGTTCCTGGCCATGACCTTTGAAACACCTCTTGCTCCCTTTCCTCTGACCCTCATAATAAATGCTATAGTTACTCTCAACCCCAGGCCAAGCATACTCCCATGAGGCCAGGGTTACATGTGAGGTCCGGTGGTTTAATAGTATAAAGTGAACTGATGACTATATGGGTGCCCCTTCAACCAGCCCAACCTTCCCCCACCACACCCACATTATTCTACACATTCATTCTCCAACCTCTTCAGCTCTCACCCCTGATTCCTCCATTCACTCAGCATACTGAGTGCACTAGGCTGAAGTCAGCTGGCCAGTGCCTTTTTGGACAGTGCTACCATATGATGGGAGAATAACACTTTCCTCCAGTCCCTGCTCTACATCCCCAGCACTAACAAAGAATTTTACACATTATGAGCTCTTTTGACAACATCAGGTGAAAAGGTGGCATTCAGGGATGGGCAGCTGTTGACCCAATGGGCCAGTCATTGATAGTCACCTGCCTCAGAAATCATGTTCTGCCAAGTTCAAGACACTTAGAAATATTCTCACTGCCCACTGGGCCATAGTTAGGGATCTTAGAATATTTTAGCTGTTAGAAACTAGAACCACCACTTTCCTTCCTATTGAACTTTCAAGCACTTGGCTACCTACTTGGCTTCATGATATGTGAGTCATGAAGGTAGGAAAAAGTTCAAACCAGTATCAAAATTGAGAACCTCTGCTTAGAGAACCACAAGTAAACATTACAAGGTTAAATGGTACTACCTCTTCTGTACCATTTATAAAGCACTTGGAATGTTGTCTTCTGAGGGCAATAACTTTCAATTTGATATAAAATTTTCCTTTCATTTTGAAAAGATCTTCCTCAATGCTGTCTAGGCTTTAGCACTTGCTAAAATCAGTTATCTCTATATACCAAGTCATGGATAAACTTATTTTGTTTAATTTTTTTATAACTAGAACTTTTAGTGGTATTTTCCATGACATAAATGACTGGCTCGCCAAAACCAGTGTTGTAATTGATTGATTAGCAATCTTTGGGGGAAGGAAGACAAAATATTAAATGTTAATCAGGAAGTGTGAACCTTCTACCTGTTAGAAAACCTAAATTTAATTCACATGAACTGTTGGAACAAGCTACTGATAATACTGATATTAATACCAATACTAACACTGATAAAAATCCCAATATATATCATCAATAATAACTATTATCACCATTTGTTGAAATCTTAGTGTGTGCCAGTTATTGTACTAGGTACTTTTATCTATTAGGTCATTTACTCCTCACTATAATTATCCCCATACCTCACATAAGGAAATGGAGACTCAAAGAGTATAGCAAGTAATTAGTGGATTGGGTATTTTAACAAGGCCCACCAAATGCAAAGCCCTTGTTCTTTCCACCACACAGTATGCAATCATGCAAAATGTCAAGATATTTCCCAATATGGCACTGTTTCAGAAATACGAATATAGGAAAAGAGGATACATTTTTTTTTTTTTTACATTTCCAAATAGGTTTTCTCTGGACTAATCAGACTTCATAGATGGAGTATATTAAAAGCCCAAAAATATTTTGCAGTGAGGCACAGTCTGTTATTTTATGTTCTACTAAGCCAATACAAGGAGGTAGAGTATATGCCTTCATTCATGGTAATATGTAGCAAGCATATAGTCCATATATCCCCTCAACATCCTCCTACAATGTTCAGCCACTTGAAGAACATTACTTGAGAAAAAAAAGAGTAGTAACTATAACAAAATAGAGAAATGAGGAAAATATGGCAGCAACATAGTTCTAGGATTATATCCTCAGGCATTTTGTAGATTGAATTTTTCCAGTGTTGGCAAATATATGCTTTCCTTCTTTTCCTTGTTATGGTAGACATTACTAATCATCACAACACTCTTTCCCACTACACCCAAATGCTGCCATAGTATCCTTTTTAAGAACATATTTTGACAACCACTGCCAATGAACTATACTTAGCATGTGATAAGAAATCCATTTCTGTCCCTATATTATTTTCTTACAAGAATAGTCTTTCCTTGAGGTTCACTGATCTGTCACTCTGGCTGTAGGGACAATGTGCTAGGTGTTTAGAATTATGGGAGATTTTTAAGCAGTATTATTCCTACTCTGTATATTACTCCTAATGTTCAAACACATCTACAATATTGAAATTTTCATTCCTTCCTACCTTCCACCAGTTATCATCCTTATGGGAATTAAATAATCATATCAATTTTTTAAAAAAACTTGAAGACACTGAAAATAAAACTTTGATGAAAAATAACTCATCCTCCCAATAGAATACTGTGAAGAGTCAGATTGTTTGGAACCATGAGATATCACCCACAAGCATGAAATAGGCACAAAATATATGGCATGGTTCTATGCATTTGAGATTTTATAGCATTTTAAGTAAAATCATACTTTAAAATTTTTAAAAGAATACTAAAATTCATTTACTAATTTAACTTATGTTCAAGATTACTATTAGAGCTCATTGTAGAAAGAGCAAGGTTTTCTTTTTCTTTCTTTTTTTTAAAATTTTTTTAATGTTTATTTACTTTTGAGAGTGAGAGAGAGCACAAGCAGGGGAGGGGCAGAGAGAGAAAAGGAGACACAGAATCTGAAGCAGGCTCCAGGCTCTGAACTATCAGCACAGAGCCCGACACGGGGCTCCAACCCATGAACTGTGAGATTATGACCTGAGCCAAAGTCTGACGATCAACCGACTGAGCCACCCAGGCACCCCTCTTTTTCATCTGATTAAATAAATTCTTCCTTCAGAGTTTAGGTAGATATTTTATGTATTAGAAGATTATTTTATGAATTAACTAAATAGTGTGAAGTGTAATCCCTGAGTTATGAGATCAGAAACTCATGTGAAAGCTGTGATATTGAGTAAGGTGAATGCAGCTGCTATGGTTCTAGATCCCTAACCCTGTGCTACCTCACTCCACCTTTAGCTGCCTCTCCCTCCATTCTGAAACCTATAAAGGCAGAAGCAAAAATTTTCACAATACAAGGAACAAGTTAAATAAACAACATGTTCCTTAATAGGTTGACCATTATATTAATAGGCATTTACTCTTCAATTTAAGGGAACTAAATGAAAAGAGATCATTCATCATTAATCAGTCATTATGTAATGGACCAAACTTTTCTATAGAGAATATTTAAGTCTAAATCATCACTTATTTAATAAATTCCTATAATACTTTCAGCATTGTGCTAAGGTTGACAGAAAATAGAAAGATATGTGAGATATGGTCCCAGCCATCAGGGAATTTTAACTTTATAAAAAAAATTCTTCTGTCTTACGGATTTTTCCCAAAGAAGTAATTCAACTAAAACAAAAAGATACATGTTGTAAGACTGCATAGTCATCTGTAATAAAATAATGTTGCTAGCCATCTAGGAGTCTAACTTCAGGGAATTAAATTATTAAGCATCAACATATAAAATATTATACACTCCTTTAATGTTTGAATACTATTAAAACATGTAAAATATTAAGAAATGAAATAAAAGCCATATAAAATAGAATGGACCCTACCTGTACAGTTCTGCTAACCATATATAAATGGAGGAGCTAGGGGAAAGAAAGTTATATTAGAGTAGTAACAAGAGAAAAGCCATTAAGCATGTGATGGCTTCATGTTAAAACAAGATCTTACCTTACAACAGTATTTCTCAAAGTATAACCTTTATTGAATCATTTTTAATCAATATATTACTATTATATTTGAGTCATAAATATAAAACATGGAAAACTTTTGAGGATAAAAATCTTGCTTTTTACTGGCAGTTTTAATACCTACTGATTAGCTATATGATAACTTTGTAAATTAAAAGACTAGTACTATTGTGAACTCAAAGGGCTCATTAGAGTAAAAACTTATTGGCTCTCTCAGGGCTACTTAATTTTACATATTTAGATGTATTACAAGTATGTGTGTGTGTGTGTCTGTATATATATATATATATATATATATATATATATATATATATAATCGAACCTTAAACTGTGTCATTACCTATTCTACCTATATTCCAGCCCTCTCTCTAACCTAAATTGACCATCATTTATACACTTAGAATTTACTAACTTTACCCCTTCCTCATTTTTCTGAGGAAAGTTGTAGACCCTCGACCTTCTGTTCTACAATATGTAGTTTTTTCAATGTGAGCTGCAGATTTTGCTGTAAAGACATTTCTCAGGTGGGCAGCTCCCACTAATCACCAAATAGCAGAAATTTCTATGTGCTCAGCAAATAGCAGACTGAATTTATCATTGTACATGGTTGATAAGAAAGGGCATTTATTGTTTATTAGGTAATATTCCAGAGAATTCATGTGAGGGTGATGGTACCCAGCCCTCAAAGGGAGAAAATAGCAGCATTTTTCAACTTCTTTATAAGATAAGGTGAAAGAAAAGTTATTGCACAGTGGATATGAACAATGAGGGGACCCTGACCTTACTAAATCAACTGCCAATGCAGTCGTAGAAAGGCCAAAGAGTAACTAGGTTACTAAAGATGTGTGGAGAGAAAGGGAATTATGGTAGTGAGACATTCTGGAAGCAAATAGTAAATGCTTTTCAACAGAGAAATAGACCATTTAAGTCATTTAGGACACAGAACGTCCTTCCACGACCTTTCTATACTAAGGATATAAAATTAGCAAATTACATTTCCACTCATCAATTACATGAAATTGTGAAATTTCAAAAGTTATTCCAGAGTTATCTCAGGGGATTGAAGTGCAAGTCATCAAACTTTGTGCATCAAGAATGGGATAGGAGCATGAAGGGAAAGTCACTGAAGTACATTCTTTTAATTTTGTTCAGTCTCAACAAACCTTGACAAGTAATTAAAAGGTATGGGAGCCACACTGTTTTAGAATAGGACATTCAGTTTTCTAGTGTATGTGGCTTTATTTATGTTAACAAGCAATAAGGGTACCCTAGTCATTTTGATATTTAAACTTAGTGAACTTCCTACAGCAGTATTTCTTAAACTATGCTTTACAGAAACTGGTGAAACAATTTAGGAAAATAATGCAGAGGCTATTCTTAATCCTCTTATATGTTCACATTGCACATTAAAATAGTGAAGACTTGGAGAAATGCTATAATTAAAATTTCTGTTTAACTTTGCAATGGATATCTTTATTATTTTGTATTTTATATGAATTTTTGCTTATTTTTTTTAATTTTTTTTCAACATTTATTTATTTTGGGACAGAGAGAGACAGAGCATGAACGGGGGAGGGGCAGAGAGAGAGGGAGACACAGAATCCGAAACAGGCTCCAGGCTCTGAGCCATCAGCCCAGAGCCCGACGCGGGGCTCGAACTCACAGACCGCGAGATCGTGACCTGGCTGAAGTCGGACGCCCAACCGACTGCGCCACCCAGGCGCCCCATGAATTTTTGCTTATTGTATAATACTTATTAATACCTTAGGAAATAAAAAATATAGCAATAATTACAGTATTTATTAGTAGATGCTATGATAGGTTTTCAACCTTTGGACATAACTATTCTTCATTAGGGTCAAATCATGAATCATTCTGATACTAATATGAATGAATCATCCCGCAATCAAAATAGCATTGCAATTTATTGTATAAAAGAAGAACATGTAGCTTTTAACAGCCTCCCAAGTTGTCAATACAGCAACAGAATTGAGTACTAGTAAAAAGGGTATAGTCACTGTTAAGAATAACCGGACTTAATATGGACCACTTGGCAGTCACAAGATACATGCATATAGCTTATGCATATTCCAATTGTATATTAAAAGCAAAAGCCCTCTTTTTCCTCATTATTTCTCTTCACCTTCATCTCCACCTTCAACTAGACCCCAGTTTAGAAAAAGGGAAGTCAGTGTAGCAATCAAAGGAAAACCAAAGAAGTGAACCCTAGGCCTTTAGTGGGGACTGTGTCCTGAAAAATTCCAAGGGCCACTTTCAGACTTTTCATGAGTTGTTCCGTATGCAATTTGTATGGCCATGCAGAATGTCTCTGACTTTTGTGTACCTAAAGACCCAAGGCCTGGTGATTTAAGGGTAACTTAAAGGATTTTATGGGTAGTTTTGATTATTAGAGATTTTTCTTTTTTACCTTATGCACTAATCTTAACTCCCATTCTCATATATTTTTAACAGAATGATACCAGGGTCATATGGCATGCATACTCCATTCTACAGTGCAGGAATTCTTATTTCATGTGGTTTCATCATATGTGTTCATACACTATCAGTTTCTAGTTAAAGCTGAAATAGTTCAAATATGAATGGCAAAAACTACTATGATGAAGTATTCCAAATATGAATGTTAAAAACTATGGATCTAGTTAAGTCTCTATGGATTCCATCATTCTTCAATTTTATAAAAAATTAAAAGTGAAGTAAATGAAAGTTGGATTATCCTTCAGTATTCTAATAAAAATAATTCAATGGCTTGCCTCTAATGGGAATATTTTTCATTACTTAGAAAATACTGATTTGACTCAAATACCAAACATAAAAAAAGTTATTGCTTTACTATTTAATATAAACTCTAGACATAATTTTTAAATTATATATTTATTACCCTAGAGGGCTAAAAACTCACTTATTACTATAAAAGCAATTTTACTGCCAGGTATTTTGTAAAACTATATAAAATATTTTTACAGTGTTCATGTATTTCTATAAGAATAATATACTCTATTGCCAGAATCAGTTAAATACACAATTCTTAGTTAATTTTACTATAATTTGTAAGGTTACTTCCATGTTTATTCTATTTTTACCTTACATAAAACTATTATGTGTATTTACATACACATATATGTACATATATACACATACACAAATATGTATGTATGTATTTATGAATACACACACACCTGCTAGCCTTTCCAAAATAATACCTCTGTATTATTTTTATATTAAAGCTACAAAAATATCCCCAATTGGAATGCCCTTTGCATTAGATATTAGGAACAAAAATACAGATGTCTATATGACTTACTGTAAGATCCATCAATGCTGGATTCCTTTTGCTTGTGAACCCAACCTTGCTTTGATTTTGCTTTGTTTTATACCACAGTAATATCTGTGTTTTGGTCTATCTTACCCTATGCATGGATGCATAGGTAAATTTTATTCATGCAAGTGAGCTCTGTAACAGGGGAAATTACTTTTTAATAAATAATAAATATTTGTTGAATGTTTGAGAACAAATAAGTGGAGGACTGATCAGTGAATTCACTGTAAAAAGGAGAAGGGACTCTCACAGCAAATGCAAAGGCAAACGGGCATGGATTCAGTGGCAGGTTAGAAAGTGTAAGAGTAAACAGCCTGTGGCTAGTTACTGTCCTTTGGGGATGGATACTGGGCTATTCCTTATGTTTGAAAACACAAATGTATGCAAGAGAAAAAAGTAAATAGCAGTTAGCAAGATGCAGGTCTTCTCACATCAAGTATAAAACCCAATAGTGGCAAAAAGCAGAAAAAGAAAAACTGACAAATGAAAGTGACCAGATAAAAGTCGCTGATTTAAATATGATAGAAAATTAGAGATTTTTTTAATGGAGTATGAGAATATTAGTCATAAGAATATTGTAAAAGGAAAAAAAAGTTGTTTTTATTTAATTTTTTCTTTATCTGACTGTTAAATGGATTTTTTTTTTTTTTTTTTTTTTAGAATGCCAGAGTCTCCTGGTGAAGTTCCCGAATATCCTTTGTTTGTCACAGTTGGTGACTGGCTGGATTCTATAAAGATGGGACAATATAAGAATAACTTCATGGCAGCAGGGTTTACGACTTTTGACCTGATTTCAAGAATGAGCATTGAGTAAGTGGTCCTAGGTTTATTATTATATTCAGACGCTGCACTCGGGAGATTACAAATTCAAATGCAGTATCAGGAACACCATGATTCAACTATTTCCTAAGGGTAGTATGGCATTTCCACATCTTTCCTCACCATTTCTGATTATCATTCCAGTGGAAATTGGACACTACACTGTTAACTATTTTCTGTTGGAAGAATGTGTTTAATTCAAATAGGTATTTTTCTGAATGCTTTCTGAAATACATATGACTCTCATTCACATCCTAGACTTTACATCAACATAGTTAACCTAGGCAAATTACTTATGACTCACATATACCGCCTATATTATAAATGTTGGACATTTTTCCATTGTCTCAAAAATGATTCTTTGCCTGGATGCAGTAAAAATGTTCAGCATGTGCTTAACAGATAGCCGGTTGGTTGAACTATATGAAATTGCCATTATTTTGAAGTAATAATAGCAATTTCATATAGTTCAACAGAATACAATGGCATTTTATTCATATTATTGGATGACCATAGGGCTCCAATACAGTCCACATTATACATTCTACCCTATATATTATTTTCTAATGCTGTTGAAAAGTTGTGTCATTATCTAAATTGTATACCTTTTAGTTCTATGAAATGTCTGAACCTTACACTGGTACCTGAATTTGAAACATTTCTTTGTACCCTTAAATTTGAGGTTGACTTGATAGATTATCTGGTGCCAGGAAGAAGAAAAATGTAACAAACTCCTGATGTTCATTTATATCTTTGTTTAAACTCTCATTTTACCGGTTACACAATTTTTGTTAAATTCATAAGGCAAATCTGACATGGTGCATATCTTCTGTCTCTAAATCTTCATTTCCTAATTTGTCTTTGCCAGATCTATGAACCAGATGTCCATATTCTCTCTCCTCTTCCCTCCCCTCTCTCTATCTTTGTCTCTTACAGTGATATTAGAAGAATTGGAGTCATACTCATTGGACACCAGAGACGAATAGTCAGCAGTATCCAAACTTTACGTTTACACATGATGCACATACAAGAGAAAGGATTTCATGTATGAAAGTACTACAAGCACTTGTGTTTTGTGCCTCAGCATTTCTAAAGTGAAAGATATCCTCTCTACTACCCTCCCTTCCGATTCTCCAAACATCACTTCACAAACTGCAGTCTCCTGTTCAGACAATGGGCACACACCTTTTGTTTATGCTTCCAACCCGGATTTTAAAATCACGCCTCATAGCTCCTCTCTGAGTTACCTGCAAATGAAACCCTGGCCCACTGCAGATTACCACTACACAATGGTAAATAACTCAGCATGGATGTGCAACTTTGTACAACAGTATTTGGGAAGTGTTCACAAACTTAACCTAACGGAATTTTCCCAGGTGTGGCTTCCTTAATGATGGATGTATTTAGAGTTTGATGATATATGAAAAAGAAATAGTTGACCTTTCTTTCATGTTTTGTGATCAGGTAGCTTCCAAACTGACATAAATATGTTTTAGATCATTATATTCAACTCTGTGGATCATATTGTTACTTTATTTTATAATAGTTTAACTGTTAATGCCTGATGTTGTTAGACTTATTTGCAGCAATGACCAATGATTTCATTTGGTGAATTCTTGCCATATGTGACTGCGCTAAGAAGGGGGTTATCAGGGAGGTAGAGGGAGAAACACTCTGTGCTTTTCAATCTTCTAAGGCTGAGTTTGTCTATTCTTTTAAATTGACCTTGTAGTGTCCTACATATTTTGTAATAAGTGGTAGTTTAGAGGCTTTTCCCCTTTAATTTTTACTAACTACATTTCTCTCCTACATTATGAAGCTCACCCCAGAAAGATCAAGAGTGAGTCCAGTGTTCTAAAGGCTTTCATAGAGGAAGCATGAAATAAAACCATGTCTGTTCCCTTGGTTCACCTTCATAAGTTTGCAAAAGCAATTTTCAAAGCATTGATAAAATTAATTATTTTCAGGGGAATTGCTTTGAAAAACAGATCTAAGATTATAGCCTTAGATATAATGTAAAGAAGATTAATTTAAACAGAATTTTATGATAGCTGTATGAGGGCCCCAAGAATAAATACATTTGGCTGACAGTCTGATATTGGTGCATTTTGCAAGTTTAAGAACTTTTATATTTTGTTCATGAAAAATAAGTTAGTTACATGAACATGCTGAGCTGTTTTCCGAACCTCTCAAGAGACAAGTATGTCACTGCATGTTCCAAAGGTATGAACAGACCTAAAACATGAGCGTATATAAATTGTGTGTCAACCTGAGTCCATAACATAGTAACTTAAAAATGTGAACACAGCTATAGTGTATTGTCATAATCTTCTCAGAGGCTGCAAAAAAAAAGGCAAATACATTTTTCAGTGAATTAAGCTGAGTCAATTTATCAAAATAGCACTGCTTGATGAATAAATTCAATTGTAAAATCAGCTGTTGCCTGAGAAACTAAAAAAAAAAAAAAAAAAAAAAAAGACTACTGTGCTAGGTGTGGAAGAGTAGGGAGAATGTGTTAAGACAGAGGAAAAGGGGCAGGTTATCTAAAGATGCTGATTTAATAAGTCAGTTTTTCTTTGATTTAAGAGATAAAGGTGCCCAAACCACATTCTCCAATTCCTACCTAAATTACATTTTTTGCTAATAGCAGCTGTCTTGCTATTAAAGGAGACTCACTCTTTCTTTTATTCTTCTTTTAAGACTTGTTGACTGTCCCATTAGACTAGACCCTTCCACATACATTTCTTTTGCTGATTTATCTCCCAATTTTTGCCTACTGGAGCTTAATTTTTTCTCATTTCAAATAAAAATTGTATAGAACTAGAAGGAAGAGTCTTTAAAGTATTCCTTAAAGTATATTTAAAAAAAGAAAAAAGTGAGAAATTCATCACTTTTAAGTAAGTGTGTCAGAAATAGCAACATTTTCTACCCATCACTTGCATGGTCATGCATCACTCATACACTATCTGCAGTTTGCTTGATACATTTACACAAATCTGGATACATTTAGAGGAAATATAAAATTTCCATATTTACTGTCTTCAAATATATATTAAATAAGAACAGATGTAAAACAGATTAAATTTATTAATCATATATATTTATTTTTATAATACAACAAAAAAGGTATTTAGAAACATAAGGAATAGAATAATTATGGTCTTCCATAGGACTCTGTCAGCAACATCTGTATACTTTGATGAAATAAATTCTATAAAGTATTTAAACTTCTTTGAGATGGGCATTCAGTACTTGAAAGATTAAAGTTCACTGTTAAGAATTTTTTTCTTAATACAGAGATCTTTTTTCCATATCTGATTTATATTTCTTTTTTTCTTCCCTAACATCTTCCTCTAGTATTATAAAACTACCTTTTCACTTTGTGTCTTACCTCAAATGCTCTTTAAAATTTCTTTAAAATTACATTTATATTCTTCAGAACTGTAAGCATGATAATCTTACTTGTAATTTTGAACCTCATCATGGTCAGAAATGTTGCGTGCACACATGATTGAAATAGGTGTGCATGATTAAACAGAAACATTAAAAAAATAAGGATATCTATTTCTTCATTGACTACCAATCACAGACCCCCATGATCCCAAGGATATTATAATATCCAGGAATATTAACAGTTAAATTGCCAAATTCATTTGGAAACTTTATAGGAAATATTTTGAGATTTACTAGTGTACCTGTCTAGTAATTAAAACTGTTTAATATGCATAAGTATAGAATTTAATTACATAAAGAAAATTAGTAACTTACATAAATCACAGCTTTCAGTAATGATTTTTGATAACTTCAATATGCATATACCTTCATTACTTGCTTTATTTTAAATTTCCTATTTCACACTACTGAGAAGCTTTTGAGATTTTGAAAATCGTAGAGTTGAAAAAAACATTTTCATTTTATTTTCTGGGTGGTCAGTTTCCAATATATAACCAACTCAGTACCTCAGAGTATAAGGCATATTTGGGGGGGGGGGGGATGTAAAAACAATACACAAGAAGAGATGTTAGGTTTGTAAATCATTTAAAAAGCAATCAAATTACAAAGCTCTTGGCTTAACAAGAATCAAGAATTATAGCACTTTTGCACTAAGTTATCTTAGTTGTTGATAAGTAAGTTATGCATGCCATAATAAAAAAAAATTTGTTATTTCACTCTGCATTACTCTTTAAAATCTATCCAGCTATCACCTGAATAAAACAGCCTTCTGGCTACAGTTCTAAGGCCTATCTCAGCCTATGAAGGGAAAACAAATCCAAATCCAATCCCTGAAAAGCAGTCTTTACAGAAGGTCTTCCGAAGAGATGGTGAAGAATGAATCTCAACCACATTTCCCTAAAAATCCATTTTTTAATATATTTCCCTACCAAATTTCTACTTTATAAATCAGTTAAATCTCTTATCCCAAAATCTTCACCAATATTAGGTCTCTTTTTTCTATTCCTTCATTAAATTTTCTAAAACCACCTTGCTCAGCCCCTTCTGTTCTCTCTTTACTCCTCCACCCCGTCTCTTTTCCTTTCTCAGCTTCTACCACTCCACCCCTGGTCCCTATCAACAAAAGAAGCACAGCAAACCTAAAAAGGTCTTACCACTGTCCTCAGAAGAGGCTGAAGGTAAAGGGAAGAAGGGAATATTACAGAAGTATTTGGGGTCTCACTACATAAATGGGAGCATTTGCACTCACAGAGAGGGAATGAACTCTGGCTTTTTATTACCTGGAAATTAAATGCTTTGGAAAGTAATCCCAAAACGGATGATGATGATTCTTTTCTACAGCTTTAGATAAGGAAATTTATTATTAATTTAAAAATTTGTATTCTAGGAATCAAAACCTGTTATCAATTCACAGTTGGTGTATGTGTGCTTATATAACAAAGAGATTAAAAGCAGATATATCACTTCTTTTAATATTATCACCTTGACTTCTCCAAGGCTCATATTATTTCATGTCCAATCCAAAAATATTTTGATGCTTTTTATATGAAGACTCCAAAAGGTAAAGGAGTATGCTGAGTCAAATTGATGTTATTCTCCCATTGGATACCGGGCATTGAAGTCACCTAACTTTCAGTTCTTGTGATCAATATTTTCAACAACTTTCAATCTGTATAATGTTCAGTAAAGGCAGTGTCAACTATTTAGTTCATTCTAACAAATATCTATGAGGTGTCTCCTACACACGTAAGATTTTATGACAAAGATGAGTTTGGCTAAACTGTCTTTACCTTCAAAGTAACTCTTAAGCTTAAAACTAAGAGGTTAGAGCCTATTTGCTATGTTTACTGTGATTGCCAAGTCATTAAGAGTCAGCTCTTTCCATAGGACAAAAATACATTAAATAAGTTAATAAAACCTTGTCCAGTATTAATTGGATTTGCAGTCCCTATAGAGAGAAATATTTTGGACTTCAAATTCTCATAGAACACTCCACACTTCCTCTAGCAAAGAGGAGCATGGTTGCAGTCTCTCCTTAAGAGTCACAGATTGTTATTGTCCAATGGCAAACTTTTCAATTTATGTGTAGATTCACTACCTCAAAGGTGTCTCCAGTTAGAAAACATTAACCATTTTTCAAAACAACTCTGGAGTAATCGCTTGCCCAAGCGAATTCACTAGTTTTAATAAATGTAATAAGTATGAACCTACAATAGTTGCATAAAATCCTTTCAAACGTGATACATTTAACAAGAGAAAGAGATGATTACTCATGCCTAGATCTAACATATTACTAGATGAAATAAAGGAGAGGAGAAATCTTAAGTTGTGGAGGCATAAATACCCCTCTTAACCTTACTGTTTCAATCTAAAACAAAATATTAGGCAAGTATTTCAAAGATTTCCAGGATAAAAATAAATTGTTTATGTTATAAGGGGATGTGACATTTCTGGGGGGAAAAGGGCAACAGATTCAGAAGATACAGCTCATCAAAATGTAACTTTAATCCTCTTTTTTTTTACTAATAATTAGATTTGAATTTCAAATTAATGATGGTTCTATATAAAACGTGTAAAAAAGGATGTTTACATATTAATTGAAAGACGTGGCTTCTTTGGTTTTAAGTCAAAGCAAAAATTGGTTGCTGGCATTTGCTTTTTTTTAGGATTTTAGAATAGATTTGAAAGTCTACCTTTAGCTTTTCAGTGTTGATGCAAAATTACTGAACTTGATTTTTTTTAAGTTTATCTATTTATTTTGAGAGAGAGAGAGAGAGAGAGAGAGAATGAGTGTGTGGGGGGGGGGGGGCGGAGATGGAGAGTGAGAGAGAATCCCAAGCAGACATCACACTGTCAGAGTGGAGCCCGATACGGGGTTTGAAGCCACACACCGTGAGATCCTGACTTGGGCCAAAGTCAGACACCTAATGGACTGAGCTAATTTTTGAGCCACTCCAAAATTACTGAACTTTAAAAATGAAACAAAAAAGAAGAAAGCTTTTTAATTACTAAGAGTAGCAAAGAACTACTAAAAGAATAAACTGTATCTTTTAAAAGAAATCTGGCAAGGGGCGCCTGGGTGGCGCAGTCGGTTAAGCGTCCGACTTCAGCCAGGTCACGATCTCGCGGTCCGTGAGTTCGAGCCCCGCGTCGGGCTCTGGGCTGATGGCTCAGAGCCTGGAGCCTGTTTCCGATTCTGTGTCTCCCTCTCTCTCTGCCCCTCGCCCGTTCATGCTCTGTCTCTCTCTGTCCCAAAAATAAATAAACGTTGAAAAAAAATTAAAAAAAAAAAAGAAATCTGGCAAATACAGTTTGGTGTATGTCTTAATGATACCAAGTCACCTCCCTTTTATTGTATTTTTGCACTTTCCGATTGAAAGCAGTTTCTTTCCAAACAAAACAAAGGAAGGTTCTCACTTGAATTTTCATGTTGGTTAACTACAGTACCAAATCTCTATATCATTAAGAGAACTTTTGATTTGTTTCATTTAAAAGGAAAAATCTTAAAGAATGCCACTACCCTTACACATACCTAATTCATCCTTAAGAATAACAAAGACATTAAAGAAAAATTACCTGACAGATGAGGATGAAAGATAGCTCTTAAATGTAACATAAAGAACTGGTTTCTACTTTAGATTATAAAATGAAGTACAGATTAACAACACAATTTCCTGGGAGCTATAAATTAGAAAGGTATTAACTCAGTGAAAAATCTTCTCTCAAGCAAAGCTCTTTCCTTACTTATATTTCTCCATTATTTTTAACCTCTGGATGTCTTTATTTTGTTACAATAAACTCAGTTTTGGCTCAGATAATAAGTTATCAACTCACATAATAAATCAGAACAACTGATGACTTTAAAGCGTCCTATGCTCTACAACATAATGAAAGAACAACGTACCTCTGGATTCCTATTTAGTTAGCACCAGTCTCCAGCTCATTAGCCATCATTGAAGGGGAAAACTGTCTTTATTCCAAAATGATATGTTATTATAAAGAAGAATCCAAGGTAGGGGAACCTTCATTTTTCATATATCCAAGTTTTATATTTAGGCATTATTAACTTTGAAGATAGACGTCCTTGCTTTGATAACTTAAATATGAGCTTACATGCAAGCAATATTGATGGAAACATTTCTATGAGTTTCCCCACATTTATAGATCATCATCTTCAGAACAGTCTTCATTGGCCTCTGTTCTAGAAAGATCAAATATCATTTAACTTTTCAAAATCATGATAGATGGAGTGAATAGTGTTAAATCACAAAGATGAATAAACAATGTGCTTTCAAGATTTTTACCTAATTTAAGATGTCCTCTTCTATCACCTTTATAATAAATTGCCTCCCTACATTTAGTAATTTGTAGAATCAAATGTATGCATTTAGCTAGACATTGCTTTTGTTAAATTTTCATTTAAACACATCTTTACTCACTTAGAACCTGGAATATAATTCATCCCATTAGCTGATTTTTCATGCAAAGTAGTAACTTTTGCTCTCTTTAGAATTATTTACTCAGTAATGTCATTATTTAAGTTGTAATAAAATTTTTCATTGACTGTACATGCTTTATTTATTGCCACATATTTTTATCTTTAAAATAAATCTGCCTAAAATTGTGGTCTTTAGAAGCTCTATGACAAAATCAATGGCTACTATTTGCTAACAAACTTGTAACTGAATGAACTATTTTTCTGTCTATGTGACTGATGTGAGCATTGTTAAATCTAACTTATTTGAATATTCATTGGTATTTTATCTAGAGCTATCATTTCAATATATTTAAAACTATATTTAAAACAATAATGAGTTTCATAGACAATATGACAATAAACAATGATTGGGGATTTTTTTAATTCCTGCACTGCTTGGAAAATAAGGTTTAATGTTTATAAATGTTTGTCATTGAAGTTTTTAATTTGCTTAAAAAATATTTTTTAATGTTTATTTTTGAGAGAGAGAGAGACAGAGTGTGAGTGGGGGAGGAGCAGAGAGAGAGCAAGATACAGAATCTGAAGCAGGCTCCAGGCTCTGAGCTGTCAGCACAGAGCCCGATGGGAGGCTCGAACTCACGAACCGTGAGATCATGACCTGAGCTGAAGTTGGACGCTTACTGACTGAGCCACCCAGGCGCCCCTTAATTTGCTTCAATGTGATGTTTCTTCCATGCCATTTATATGTGTTAAAAGAAAATTGTATTATCTATACTATGCAAAAATCTCCTCATCTTTTTACAAATATAGAGTTTTGAAATAATTTTGGTTTTTTTTTTTTTTAGGCCTCCAAGAGAAAAATAAATGTGAAATGGGAGGGGTTTTTTTGCGGGGGGTGGGTAGGGCATAATACCTGAGCAGTCCTCAAAAATATGAATGAGTAACATTTGATTTTTTAAAGATTACTATATGTGCTTTCTTTCTGATACATTATTAATCATGTTCTTAATCAGTTTCCATCTAAGGTCGTGTCATTGAAAATTTGAATAACTACAGGATATAAATGTCTTTGGATATTTTGCATGAACTACACTTGGGTGTAATTTTGTATGCAATACACACTTTGACACCTTAATTTTGAATTTTGAATTTTAATAGTTTCTTAACATTTCTTTAAATATTGGTTATGTTATACCTTCTATAATAACCTTATTTTTAAAAAATTCATGCAGAGCATGAATGCAGTGTGGAAAACAGACCAAGTCCCATTAAAACTGATGAAAAGACAAGAAGGTAATACAAAAAATTTTTTGTTAAAACTATTAATTACCACATTAAAAAAAAAACTATTAGAATAGAGTGATTAAAAATTATGTCGTATTCCTCTTCTGGTAATTGTGAAACTAAAATGCATTTTGAGGATGGGAATCTCTAACTAAATGTCTATTAATATTTGTTAAAGTATATAGTGATATATAAAATAAAGAAATTTTACCAAAATATCAAAAAAAAGAATTTTTTAAAAGAATTTATTAACAAACCAAATGACCACAGTTACTAACATTTCCATATTACTAGATCTCTTGATTCCTAAGAAATATATAATAAAAGAATTTGTCAAAAAAATAAATTCAATAATCAACTGTCGAAGGATTTTATACATATCAATGAATCACTATCATTAATAAGAGTTTTTCTTCT